ATGGAGGGGCTCAGAAGGAAGTACCAAGAGTGGTAGAACTCCGCGAAGCACTCGTCCATCGGGACACGGCTCCTGCCCACAGCCAGCTCCCAGAATATGATGGCTGGACCATAGAGGGCGAAGGCCAGCACCCAGACAGCAATCATCTTCATTATGGCCTGGTGAGTCATGCTCTGCCTGGCACGATAGTTCACCTGAAAAAGAATAATCCACAGTATGTGTCCAGTAACAGGTGTGTGGGTGCAGATGAAATGATACTGTATTCTAGATGTGTCTAGATATGGTGGTCTACCTAAAAATCTTTGATAGATACAAGGGGATAATGAATGATTTCATGAAATAATAGGAAGATTCTAGATAATTCCTTGACAGATTTTGACTTTTTTGTGTAACTTCTAGTCGTTTTCAGGGAGTTGCTTAACAATATGGCTAAAGTGCTGCTTCTTCTGCCTGGAGTTTTTTTTTTTTTCATGATCCTTGATAACACACGGTTATTTAAAATCTGTCTAAGTAATACTCACATTCCACAGTTTTTAACTCAGTTATTCACAGAGTCCAAACTTTAAATTTCAAGTTCCAGTCCGTCAGAGAGACTATTCAACTGTTTATAGAGCATAATACCATGTTTAATATGCACCAGAGATCTACAAAATAATGTTTGTGAAATCTAATATAACACATGAACACATAATATTTGTAGCACCCTGACAGCAGGCAGTACACAGTAGTACCTGTCAGTCGAGTTTCTCTCATGACTACTCGTCTCAACTAATGTCACATGCTTCATCCCCCTGTTCACTTCTGTTTTGACCACAGAGTAGCTGTAAATTCATGTATTTGATTACACTGTGGTTTTTACAGTTCTGTTCTGTTTCTGTAGACAACGACTTGAAATCAGCTTTTTTCCTCACTACAGGGCATTTAGCATTTAGTTAATGAGCTATTGTTCCGTGTAACCACTTCAACGTGACCTAATTTATATCTTCTCTTTTTTTATTATTTTATTTTTTTCCCAAAGACAAACATTGTACTGTGACTGTGATGTTCACAGAGAAATGCTTTTAGGAGACAAGTGCGTGGCTGCTGGTGGCCCATTTCTGCCGTATGATTGATCTCTCCAGGTCGGAAGGAGCGCAGCACGGAGGACGATCACCATGATCAAAGCCGGCTAATTGAAGAAGAGGCTTTTCTCTCTGGTGTTATTTGTATTCGTCGCTCTGATGTTAAGTGTTTGTCTATGAAAGCAAACACAACGCTCTCTGTCTTCCGCGCCAAGACTCGTCTCACCTCTGGGGTGAACGAGCAGAGAGATACAGTCAGAGAGGTGACACGTGCAACAAAGAGTCAACGGGGATTCTCTGCAGGGGGACACAGAAATATATGAAATATTAAAGCATTTAAGGTTGGCCTCTAAGAGCTGTTTTCTGCTGCAGTTGGCTACAACAGGCTAAACTGTTACTGTGTTTTTACCCATCATCATTGGGGAGAACTATAATTAGGCATGGCGCTGGGCCTGACTGGGTCAGGAATGATTAACCTCTGCAGATGGGCACGTTTGGGAGAGTGGGGTGGCACGACCCCTATCAATGACCTGGGAGGTACAGCAGTCAGAGAGTGAGCCACAAACAAGAGGCTGTATGCGTCCAGGTGATTACTGTATAACTGGCTTTTCAAGTCGTTATATTATTCTTCAAATGTGGTAGAAAAAAAAAAGAATTCCCAGAGTCCATATCTACATCTGCAGCACTTGACTATTTCATTCAATTATCTTCTCCTGTTTAATGCTTTTCAAGGTTGTAGGTCAGAGGTCAACATATAACTTAACATGTATCATTTCAAAGTGCTTAAAGTATTTATATAAAGTATAGCATTTATGATGAAGAAACCCTATTGTTTATCTGTTTAAGTGGATCTTGATGCGTTGCTATAGTTATAGGTTTGTCCTGTTTTTTCTTGGTCTTTTTTGTGCACCACGGTTTGATGACTTAGATAATTGATATTGATTGTCTTCAAATCATCAGTAAAAGTTAGTAGTGTACGCTGCTCTAGCTCAGGTGAACTCCAAAAAGGTTCCCTACAAACAGATGATTTCCTGTTTCTCCATTATACAGTTACAGTCCAGGGGACATCTGATCCTGCAGCAAACTGTGCAAATCGACAATCATTCCCTCCACAGGACGGAGCTGATGTGAAATGGTTTCGACTCTAAATCACTTCCAATATTGAAAACTGTAAATGGAGAGCAATTTTCATGTGAATTGCAGTTTAAAACGGAACCTCCGCCTCCTCGGCTATCAAAGATCAAACCTTTGGTGTGGGCTCCTTTTGTACACTGATCTGTGAATTGTACAAAACACAAACTTTTTGGTCTCAGTTTTTGGTCATGAAGCATATATACATTAACTCACTGCTCTGGTGACAGACAGGAAACGATCATAGCTGATGAGGACGATGTTGAAGACAGATGCAGAGCAGAGCAGGTAGTCCATGACCAGCCACAGTTTGCACAGCCCTCTGCCCAGGGTCCAGCGGCCTGTCAGGGTGTAAGGGATGTAGACTGGGATGCAGAAAGCCCCTGTTTTGATTTTATATTTAAAAATGGAAAAGATGGAAAATCTTGATTTCTCTGTTGAATGGTATAAATTGAAAGAGACAGATACCGTGTGCAGCCCAATCAGACTTCAATCACAGTAGTGATTTGAAACTGAATCCAGGAACTGGGTCCCCTGTAATTCTGTCCTTTAAGTTTCATCTGTAAGGCTCACCCATTGTACTGTGGTGTTGTGTTTTTATTATATTTCTTTAAAATGTGATTTTAAATTTCAGTGATTGGGTAACACAAGATAAATACTTATAATAGTAATAACAATATATAGGTCAAAGTTACCATTCTGGTCAAATTCATAAGAAATTAAATCTTAGAAAGAAAGAAAGGACATATAAATCGTGATGCAACAATAATGTGTCATTAAATGTAATTAATTTTAATAGAAACAGACTTACCTACAAGAAAATCTGAAATAGCCAAATTAAGGAAGTAGTAATTGCACTGTCTTCTTAAACTCTTGTCCACTTTGAAGGCCAAAATGACCAGCGCGTTCCCCAAAACGATGACTGTCACCAAAATGACCATCATCACCATCAGGATGACGGACGTGGCTCCTGAAAACACCGGGCTGCCCTGGACTTTCCTGGAGGCGCTCGTCAGATAGTAGCCGCTGGAGTTGGAGTCCGTTCTCTCCTCAGCCATGGTCCTGATGTGAGAGGTGGAACGACGCGCTCCACCAGGCAAGGATGATCATTTGACGACAGCAACAGATGCTAAATGAGAGGACGTCGTCTCCATCCAACACCCACTCACACAGTTTGGGGATTAGAGCGCATCTCTTTGTGTCCGACCAGCCAAGCTCAGTGCCCAAGCGAATCCACAAGAGAGCGCACGACGAGCGGTGAGATATTTATACCACTAATAACCGCCGGCTGTGATGAAATCACTCACCCACGTCTGTCACTGCACAAAGTTTCAAAAACTTTCAATCGAACACCATTTAAATCTGTATCTGCCGGGTGCGCACAGAAAGTTTGTTTTGCGCACAGTATAAAGACTGAGTGGTTGTGATACAGCACTGTAACAAAGTATGTTCTGTGTTCTTTAATGTGACAAAATGCACGCAGTCAATAACATGGCTCTTTACGATGCTATTAAACTAATCAAGGCAAATATTCAGGGCAGCCTGAATATTTGCCTTTAGGACTCTAAACTGATCAATATACTGTAGATAACTCATCTTTTTGACATTTTAAAATGTCCTTGCAAGTGCTACGCAACATGACACTCCTACTCAGGCATTGTATATAAGCTATATACATGATTTTTTTAACAACTTTTAACTAGTAAAATTATGTAGACTGGTCTGATTGGATTGGATATATATATACATATATATATATACATTTCTGTCAAATTCATATGAAAACATGAAGGTGAACAATAGAAAGCTCAAATCACAGACTCTCGTCAACACGAATGATTTAACATTTGCATTCAAATATTAATTATCCTCAGTCACCGTATCTCAAAGTCCATAGCTTGAAACTGTTTATTTTCTTCTTATCTTTATGCTCCTAGTAAACGTGCGTTTAATTTCCTGGTTGCATACAGTGGAAAAAAAAAAAAAAGCTGTCGACCTCATTTGCATTCTGTTGCAATCCTGTCTGTCCCCCAGCTGTGGTCTGAGAGAAATGAGAAACACTGCAGAACAGTAGAAGTGACTGAAGGAGCTCGGCTCAAATTACTGTTATTTTCTCACAAATGGGACCACCACCATCTCTCAGAGTTAGTCACGGAAACACAGGCTCCACTGCAGGAAATGGCACCAAACAAGTGTGGGGATTTAATGCAGCCTGAATCGGAGCACGTATTGATTTCAGAAACTCAAATAGAAAAACAACAGTTTCTTTTTAATTGTATGTTTGTGAAAATGTTTGTGAAACTATTAGTGAAAGAAGTGTCGTATTTTCCTAACTAGAAGTCGTACTTTTTTTATCCTCTGGCTGGATTTGCGACTTTTACTCAGGTGCGACGATTAACAGCTTATCATCTTTTAATTCAAGATTAATGACTGATGCTTTTTCTTTGAGCTGAACTGCAAAAAACAAAATCTGCAAAAATGTTGTTTATAGTTCACTTAACTTCTAAGTGTTATCTTAGTGTAATATGCCTTTTTAAATCATACATTTAAATTGTGTTTTCACTATAAGGGCCAACATAAGTGCAACATCCAGTATTTATACACAACAGGTTTTCAAGCAGACTACAAAGACCTCATAGGAGCTAATACATGTGGGTGCACGCCACACGGGCTTGTGTCTCTGTGGTGTTTTCATACTTCCTGTTTTTAATACAATATCATTTTATTTCAAAAAGAACTCCAGTAATGGGTAAAGTGCCAGTTCCTGTTTTGTTACTGTTTTCCTAATGGACAGATTTGAAACCACTGAATTGAATCAGTATCCTTCGTACTGTAGGGTTCACACAGGTGCCTCCACCCTAACCCAACATTCATATTGAAATTACTAAAGCTCTTTCTCTGTGTGTGTTTCTGTATTACATCTATATGTGATAACTTTTGTAAAGAGCGCAGTGCGTTTGTATTTTCAGGATTTTTCTTTTAAACCAAACATGCCCAGCTGCATACATATTAAACAGAATGCAAAAAGAGTGTCTTGGGGCAGCAATCAGTTCGGCAGGTGCATTGTCGCTGGATTTGCAAACACAAGTGTAGTGAGTCATCTGAATATGGAGGGCACTCAGAAACAAAGCAGTGCCACCGAGGGCGGACGCAGGCTCTAGTGTGGCCAATTATACGGCGCTCCACACTCGCTCTCCGTTACTCTATGCTCGAGTGTTTGTGTTTGGATGCTACTCTTTGGAAGTGATGATACCGTACTGTAAAAGTGCAGCAATCTACTTTAATCGCCGTCAAGATTAAATGATAAGACTCTCCAAAGTGACTCTTAGTGTCTCTTAAAATGTTAACGCCAACAAGTGCTTCAGGTAGGTGGTTCACAGTTCAGTTCAGTAAGAGGAGAGGTCAAAGGTTAAATGACAGGTGTTATCATTTCAAACAGTGTTGGGTTTTTAGTAAATTCTCAGGCACCAGACTCATGCAGCTGTGGATATTTATGGTTGTATTTCTGTTGAGATTTGAGTTGTGTTTATTTTACAAATCAGAGCAAACATCACACTTTACTCCAAACCTATTCTATAGAGCCTATTTGTGTTATGTAGTACAATCATCATTGTTTTTCTAGTCTCTACACCAGGGTTCAGAGGATAGAATATATTTCTGGACAGACACCTTGGGGGCCGGACAATCAAATAAAATTTAAAATAAAACATTATTATTTAATGTTTGTTTTAAAATTCAGTCACAGTCTGGATTGGATTTGTAAAAACCTGTAGTTTTTCTTATATATTCAGATGTAAATACTTGCTATTTTCCTTTGGCCGTCAATCTTAATATTGTTTGCTAATACGTGTCTCCGTCACAGTTTAGATTATAAATACCTCCCAGTGATGAGTGAATGAATTTGTTGGACAGACTCAGAGACTCACAGTCTGTTTGGCAGAGTGATGCGGGCTGTTGGCATTTACCTGGTAATTTGGATCCACAGAAGCTCATTGAAATGCTGTGGGTGTGCCTCGTCGTGACAGCGTTCTTCACTCGTTGAATTTTTAATCCCATTTTCAAAAGTTACAAGCCGGTTAATTCGTGTCTATGGCTCTTACCCACCCTCCAATCATCATTTATTGAACTAGTGATCACTGTGAACACGTGCACTAATTACTCCATGAATGATGTCAGTGTTGACAGGGAAATCCTGTGTGGAAAATACTCAATTAATTAATTAGAATCCATGGACTTTATTGTCATACGACGTCTTTTGTTGCGTCTTCAAAGACCAAACAAAACACGTTTCATCGTGTTGTGATGTACAGAAGACAATTTTTGAATATTTCACAATTTTGTTATTACAGCACTAATTCAAATCCTTTGACATGTTTAAGAAACAAAATCAAGTTTATTTTAGACATTCTAAAACTTTTAGGAAATGTCAATAAAAAATCAACCAGGTTTGCATTAACTTATATTCAAAATCTAATCTTTTTTTTTTTTGGATCAAATGAAAAGTCACATTTTGGCCACATATTGGATAAAGAATATTTTAGTTATTATATGTGTGGTTGTTTCTATGTAATTCTTCCATTTTAACATGAACCCCAAGGTTAATACACTGCCTTGATTCTACAGTGTGCCTGTAATCCTTGCCTTGTGATCCACAAGCTCCAGAACTCTGCTGCCTGATGATGCGCCTCCTCTTTGCCTCCTCCTCAAAGACAGACAGCAGCTGGTGTCTCTCTTTGACTTTAGCACTTCAGTCCAAGTCATGTCAACAGGATTTTTTTTTCTTATTTTCAAAGTCTCAGTCTGTCTTGCAATTGTCATGCTGTGTACTAACAAGTGCACGGCTGAAAATGCAGATACTGTATGGTGTACTTGACCTGATGCCCAAGCAGCGACTAATTTGACTGGGACGTGTGGTGGAAAAATTGATTTGTACCTTTGTCTTCTGTTCACACAATACATATGACTGTAGGTGTTTTTTGTCATAAATCATGCAATATTTCTACTGATTTTTCCAAATAATTGTTTCACATTTATCTAAGTAACTGCATTCAAGATGCTATTAGTTTTTACATAAACATTAATAATAGTTAAAACCAAAGCAATGCACACTGGAAAAAACCAGTAGTGACTGTTTGCTGTTTGCTCTGAGCCTTTTGTGAATAATCTCCTGTTGTGTCTCTGAAGTCAGTTTAAAATATACATGAGGCTTAGACTCTGTCTCTGTTTCTACTGTGGTTTACTGTGGTATTTTGCAGGAGCATACCAGACCTAAGGAGAAATACTAGGTGTCTGAACTTTTAGCTTCTCCTCCCACTTACTTATTTACCTAGTGGCTAAAATCACTTTTTATGTGGCTCAACTTTTCTTCAGAGACATTTCCTTTAGCACCCACACAGACGTTTCTTCCTTTTCAGACAGCTCCATGTGAAGATAATTCATGTTGGACTCCATTTGCCTACCTTCCATTGTCTCCCCTCTCTCTCTCTGTCTGTCTCTCTCACTGTCTGTCCCTAAAATGTCCCTGCTGGGAATTCTATCTGGTGGCTCCTTTTGAAGCGGTGGCCTCTTTTTGCCTCCATTATCTTGTAATTTGTGAGGGATTATGCTTCGGAGAACACACAGTCCACCCCACTGCTTAAGATGTGTGACAGCTTACAATAATTGCCATGCTAATTAGCAAGAACTAGCTCAGTGTGCGTTTCTCTCTCTCCAGACCTGATTTGATGAATATGCTTTGATTAATGTCTGCAGCCGTGTTTCCATAACTTCACATCCAGTGTAATTAACCAACGGGACTCATTACTAATGTGTGACTTTCTCCAAATAAGGACGAAAAACAAGGAAGAATCAGCTTCAAATCCAGGATTTAGGCTGTTTATGATTACGTGTTGCAGGATGATGACAGTGGAAGAGTGTTTAGTTATCTTACCATTCAGCAAGAGGGCCAGTGGTTCAAAGTCTGAGTTTATATCTGTCGGTATGAATAGGCAAGGAACACATTTTTACATTATTTTGGGGTTGTTTTTTTTTAATCTTTTATTTATTAAATACTACGCCACCCAGTGGATTATTCATTACTGCTTTTTCCAAATTATATACAAAACAGTGCAGTAAAAATAAATATAATAAAGGTGGCTACACTACCAAACAGATAACAATCATTTGTTTAGGAACTATTAAGTTGTTCCCCCCACTGAAAGGAGGTATTTTAAGGCAGCGTACCAAAGACCCTTGACCATTACTTCTCCCTGATGCTTATTCTTGCAGGTATTCTGACAGAAGCCTTTGTGTTTTAAGGCAAATCAGTGACCCACCTCTGTGGCATTATTTAGCATTTTAATGCAGTCCACTGAGAGCTGATCTTGTTTCGTCCACCCCTGCAGCCCTTTGGTGAATTTAGCCATCTCACCATCAAGAATCCCTCTCGATAGAGCCCGACAAAAAACACCTCTCTCTTTTCACAGGTGACTCAGTAACTCGTCTCCAAAGTCCTTTTTGACATGTACCTTCATTACAGCATGACCTCTCCTTCATTTCCTCGTTATGCACATATCTCAGGGGACCTAATTGCTTGGAGTAAGCAAGGCCTTCAAAACCCATGTGGGCCCCCAAATAGGTCCCCAACTGTCTAGGACGAATGGTATAAAGATAATGTGATGTGTACAGTCCATATGGCTGCATTTCTTAGGTTGAACCCAAACATCCTCACAGTCCCGTGTCACAGAGTTAGAAAGTGATTACAGTTCAACGTGCAGACGACATCTGGTGCAGCAAATGCTTCCATCTAGTGTGCAAGTTAAGAACTAGGATACCGTGAATAAATTGCTCTGTGGTTCATTAACACTGTGGAGTTAAGGCAAGGAAATGAAAGGCAAAAAAAAAAAAAAACCAACAGGGTTTTAATGTAGGTAATATTTAAAAGACAACAAATGTCTTTTAAGGGGTTTAAATAAACTTTAGTCTTATTTTATTTATTCATGTAAAGAGTTTATTCAATGTACACTCAAAACTAGCCGAAGTGTATTTTTTAATAATAATTACACAAGAGATAAGAGCGAATAAATACATAAAAAACATTTGTTTATTGATTTATTGTTGACTTCATATCATCATAAATGTAATAATATTTTTGATAATTTTGAAACCACCACTACGACTTAATTTGCATAATTGTTTTTATTTATTGTAATACTTTTCTATTTTATTTTAATATATTTTTAAATTATTTATTTTAAAAAATGCTTGTTTACAATGTTACGCCCCTGCTCAGAAACGCTGCTTGATCACGTGACGATTGTAAACAGCTGTCAGCTGAGACGCTCACATTTCGCAGCGTGGTCTGCAGTTTGTCAACACTGAGGTTCAACTGCACAGAAGTCTGTTTGATTTGACGTAAAGACATTTCCTTCTGACTCGTGCAGTTTCGTTACCGATCGATTTAGCCGTTTGTTTGTTTCTGTATTAATCACTGCGTTAGTTAAATATCCATGCAGGAGCAGACGGCGGAGGAGCAGCTCCTCCTCTACGCCAAAGAAGGCGGTTGTTCCCTGATCCAGAAGCTCCTCCAGTCCAGGATCGACCAGAACAGCAGTGTCAACGTCAACTGCAGATGTATGTAGTAACAAACCTGACTCAGACTCGAGCTTGGCTTCACTCAGCTCAGAGACGTCTCTCCATTTCCTTTGTGTCACCTGTGCAGCCTCACGTAAAAGCAGCTTAGGATGGACAGCCCTGCACATGGCCTGTTACTTTGGACACAGAGAAGTAGTGGAGGAGTTACTCAAGGTGAGAGCTGCTCCAAATTGAAATGCAAATGGACATGCTTTGTCCTGTGTGCACACATTACACCGTGGTGCATAACTGCTGTCGCCTCTGCAGGCAGGTGCTGATGTGAATGTGCAGAACAGTGTGGGTGACACACCTCTGCACAAGGCAGCCTACACTGGAAGGAAGGTAGAAGACAGGCCTGACAAAAGCTTGTTACTTTATGTTAATGTAAATGGTAATTATTTTTTGACAGGATTTTTGCCTGGAAAAAAAAATCATGTCAAAGTTAATGAATAACAACCGTCTGGTGGCCAACTTTTAATTATATTTTTCCCATTATCGTTTAGCATATTTTAGCATTTTTTTGTTGTTGCTCCTAATAAGTTAAAAGACACTTTAGACACTTGTACTGTTAACTATTTGTTAGCCATATCAGCCCCTTTTTTGTGCTATTGTGGATAAAGTTTTTACTAACTTTCCAAATAAGAATCGTAAATAGATCTTTAAACCATGTGGTACATTTTTGAAATTATTTTTGTTATATGCACCAGTTCTTTTGTAAACTTTGGATGACAGCTGTGGAAACATTTTTAAGAACAGTTTTATTTTACCTCTGTTTTTCTCTTTACATTAAGGAAATTGTTCTTCTCCTGCTGCGGTACGACGCCTGCGCCAACATTATCAATGGAACAGCTCAGATCCCCAAAGATGTCACGGAGGATGATGAAATTATCACAATGCTGGAAGGTATGGAATGATGTGAATATTCACTGATGGCTTCTCATTATGGCGGTGCTTTGTCCTGAGATGGTGATTGTTTGTGCAGCTGCAGAGAGGAGGGAGACGAGGCGGCGCGAGGAGAGGCTCCTGGAAGCAGCCAGAGAGGGAGACGTCTCCAGTCTGTCTAAACTGGTAACCAGTGACCTTTAGAGAGAACTTAGCTGAAGCTCTGGTATTTTTTTTTGATGGTTTCTGTCACATTAATCACATCAGGGTGTGAGTTTGATTTTCATGGTCTGCGATTTAACCCACATTAAATCAAAAGCTTTTTTTTAATCTTCTCTTTATATTTAATCCGTTTTTAACTCATTAATTGAGTGTGGTAAAATTACAATTTCTTAATACAAATTAAATATATATATCACAATCACTTGTGGTGAAGCCTTATTTAGTAGATCTGGGTTTAGTATTCGTATTTACCTTAATTTTATATATATATTTTTTTTTCTCATTTAAACTAAATTCTTGTAACTGGGATTTTAATATTGTCCATGTCATTTAACTTTTTTCATTTTCTGTCTTAGCTCAGTGGAACGGAAGCTCCAAATATTCATTGCAGGGATGTGGTCGGAAACACACCTTTACACTGTGCAGCCTATAGGGGGCAGAAGCTGTGTGTCATAAAACTCCTCAAGTCTGGTGCCAACCCTGCTGTCAAAAACAACAGTGGTACGCTATTGTTCTCAGCAGCACATGGTTTCGCTCCACAGGCACCATGGATTTTTACCTGTTTGTTTAGTTGTATATGTTTCCCTGTATAGATATATAGATACACGCATGTAGTTCTAACTCTGTTTACTGTAGCTATATTCTATATACTGTAGATACATGTATATGTATGTATATGTCTATATATATTTATATAACATTTAATGGACTTGACTATAGTCGTTTTCATAGCAGTTAAACATTTTCCTTTTGTGTCCATTGTCGCAGACCAAACGGCACTGGAGCTGGTTCGTAACGATGATCTGAAACGCATTATTGCTGCTTATCTGCACAAGGTGAGAGTACAGAGGTTCCCTCCTGCTGTAACTTTCTACTGCACCCCTCAGCTGAAGTGCCAACAGTGCATAAACCTCAAACTTCACTACCTGAATGCTCGCCGG